AAATAAACAAATAAAATTATTGACATTTGGCTTATAGCTCCTTTTATTTTTTGTCTTTTTCCAGGTGGCACAATCATCTACTGTTCATGATGTTAAACAAAAATTTCACAAAGCATGTAAGTTTCATATGTAATTTAGAGCTTATGTTACTGTCTTTTTTCCATTGGTTCAAAATTATCTATGTGAATTAATATGGAAAACATTTTTTGCAGGAATCTTGTAAATGGTTTTATATTTAATTATTGACAGTAAAGATTCTAGAGGCTAAACTTTCTGATGCGTTAATCTTCAACATTTTACATTTTTATTTTGTTGAAATTTTTGCAACTCATTTCAACTTTCTTTTATTATAAAAGGAAAATTCTTACATTTTATTTCATTTAATTTAAATATGTTAAACATATTTTACTGATCAGATTTACTAGATGTAGGAATTTTAAACAAATGAAAATTGTACTAAGTTTATTAATTGTTTACCTCATGAAGGGTCAGGGGAGATAGCTCAGTAGAATAAGCGCTTGCCTGGCAAGTGCAGGGTCCTGAGTTCAATCCCCAGTACCTTAAAAAAAAAAGTTTACCTCATGAACAAGCAATTATAATTTATTTGAAAGTGTTTATATTTCATATGATTAACTTATATTTTAGTTTTGTGCCAATCGTAGAATATAGCAAAAATATGACAGGATGGATATGTCCCAAATAGTTGTGTTCCAACACTCATGTCGATCTCTCACTATAAACCTTTCTGGCCAAAGTGGATCACTTGAAGCAGTGCATAGTGCAGTGGATGTCTCTGCACCTTCACATCATGTGCAAAGTGTTGGAATTCATTCTTCCTGTTGATTCTCTATGAATTTCTCTAGGGAGAATTTTTCAATAAATTTGGACTTATTTGAGCAATAAATAAGTTTCTTTTGTAAAGTTTGAACTTAATTCATTAAAGTTTGATTATACTTGAGTGTAAAATAGCCGAATTATATTTTTGGTTTTAGGAAAAGTACACAGTATTAATTGTACATTTTCAGTATCTATAATATTATGCAATATAGAGTGAATAGTTCAGTGAATGTAGATGTGTTATTAGTTATCAAAATATGACTAGAAAATATAAAAAGGAAATTCCAAAAAATTGATAGACATTTGAAAAGTCATTGCATGTAATATTTTTAGCCATCTGTGGGAATTCTATTTAGAATCAATAAGTGAAACAAAACTTACGCAGAAAGTGACTGAATTGTTTGAAACATTATTATTCAGACCCAAATATTTGAGAAATGTCAGTTTGGATATTTTATGACAAAGGTATGTATGATTTGGTTATGTTAAAAAGAAAAAAAAGAGCAAGCAGAGGAAGAAAAAGAAAGAAGGAAAAAAAGAAAAAATAAGAAAACTAATGAGAAGGGAACTGAAAAGTACTTTTTTCTTACAAAATAAAAACTAAAAAGTACTTTTTAATCATAGAATAAAACTGTCAGCGGACTGGGGCTACAGCTAAGTGGCATAAATGCCTGCCTGGTCCTGAGCTTGATCCCTGGTTTAAGAAAAAAAATGCTTTTAAAAGACAGTTTACTAGAGTAAACATATTATTTCTACCTTCTGAAATTGACAAATCAGAGTCTTATCTATGTGCAAAAGAGACTGTCATCCATCATCTTGTAGGAAAATCATGACCATTTTTACAGTGGTACTCACACACAACAATTAAACAAAATCTTAAACTTTAGACTGCTCTTAGAGTGTTGGGATCCAGACTGTGTTTCTAGTAATTAAGAAAGTACAGTTAAGCAAAATATAGAAATCATAGAAATATTAAGTTGGATAACTAAATAATTTAAAATGGATAATATGCAATTAATTTTTAATAACTATATTAAGACTTAAAGATTCATCTGTCACTCTTTGTTCTCTTTTATAAGCACACTTTAAACATATAAATGGCTAAGAAGCTTCAACTGCGACCTCTTAAACTCCTTGAAAGTCAGTTCTACTTCAATACCATATCAATCATTTGAAAGTTAGAAATACTACTCCAGCATATGTACATTTGTTATACTTTATTTCAAATTTTTATTGGAATTTAGTATTCATAAGTTCAAGAAATAGGAACACATGTTTGGCTGTATGACATTACAGAAACTTTCCAAAGTTAAATCTGTTGTACACAATGTTTAATATATGTAATGTAAAGGACACTGAAA